TTCTTGGAAAATATTTAAGAACTATGGTAAACAAAACAAAACAGAACAAAACAAAACAAAAAACACCAAACCAAAAAAGTCCACACCTTGACCTCACAACCCCAGAGAACCATTTCAGGATAACTGACACTTTACCATATGGAAAACATTCGTGACTATTCCACTATATACATGCTATAGGACAGCTTAGCCCAAACCAAAACCCAGGATGCACTTTAACATGCTTGGCATTCACAGGACTAGGCTTTAAGTTTAAATAGATTTAAGTATCTAAGTTTCACTATTGGCCTTCCAGAAATACCAGGCCAGCATTCCTAGCTACAGCCTGTTTCCAGTGAGCTGCATGACCAAAAGGCCAACAGCAGTGATTGAAGCCCAGGGCTGCAACACCTTCTGGCCACGACCTATGTCTGTCCATCTCTCAGAACACAGACTTACTGTCACACAGCTGTACTGTACAATAAGCTGTATGCTGTGAATAAAGTCCAGCATGTTTAGAAAACTGAAAGTAAGCTCACCATACATGTTTCTTCCACTGTAGATGAACCTCCACAATTTTCCTCAATATAAGATACACATCTTCACCAGCACTCAAACAGTAAGTCCAAGCTAAAACCCAGATATTCCCCAGTTATACAGTGATTTAAAGGATGAAACATTTTACATGATGGAAGATCAGAAACTATATATTTAGGGCCAGTGGAGAGAAACATAAGTGATATTTCAGAGCTGAAAGATGTATCAAGTAGCTTCTAGATCGTATTTTCCAAATATATATCAAAGCAATGAACTGAATCCTCAGGAAGTTCTCAGAAGCAGCTTAAACAGTCTGCCTAGACAGCAAGGGCAAGACTACATTTCATAATTTATTTCAGAAGGCCTACATATTGATTTAAAAAATCATGACACATTTTAAGCTAAAGAATAAAAAAATTAGGTCACTCCTTTTATATATTGCTAAAAAGAAAATACAGTTGACATTTTTCATGTCTTTCACCAAATAAAACCCTTCCCTCTGTGTTTATGTAAACAATAAGATGACAGTGGCTTTCTCAGATAACATCTCTATTTAATCATTAGAAAATTAGGTTAAAAGGTCATGTTGAGTATAATTAAGACCTGCAGTCCATTTCAATTTTACAAGTATTTAAACTTCTGGACAAGGAGAGCAAAGATGTATTTATGTAGTATTTTATACCAGAATGTAGAATTTATTTCTTCCTAGAAAAGAAGCTGGATTCTTCCTGAGAAGAATAGAACCAACATAATTTCTAGTTCAGTTGTCTTATGTTTTTACTGCTATTGATCAGTAAGACAAAATTTGTGTCACAACCTGCAAGACTACAACATTGTCATCAGTTAGAAATTCTAATCCAGTGGGATCTCTATTTCTTAAAAAGTCATATTCCATGGCCAAGTCAAATCAAATCAGTATCTCTAATTCTTCATTCTCTTAATACTGTTCAGATGTTGAAGGGAGTTAATATACTAATATAACTCAATCAATAATTTTTGTTCTTGTGCAAAGCAGGCGAGTACTGTTGAGGTGAAAACAGGCACCACAACCTAATTTGAGAAGCAACTGAAAGAGAATAAAATATCAGCTTTAAAGCATTGACATGATGTTCTGTGCAATAACAGTCTGCAACACTCCAAGGGCACGCACAGAAACAAAAGAGTCAATCAATTGCATCCACAATAAGAGACAATCAGGGGGAAAAAACATAAAGAATGTGATCTTTTAAAAGACTGACTTTAAAACCACACATTTTTGCACAACTACTATGCCAATTTACATTCTCTGTAATTCTGCTATGAAAAGCCTATTCAGAAAACATCAAGGTCATATCTTGCTTGTACTAGCCAAGAAATACATTCCTACCAAAAGTCTGGAAATTTATGAAGACTACTCAAAAGAAGTGTCTGGAAATTGCCTTAGATTTAGCCCAATGGTGGATAAGACAACAGATATTAACAGACGCCATATTCTAATGCTGCAGGGGTATCATTCAGTGGTTGCTTTGGATGCCTCAGATAAAAACAGCACAGGAGGTCTCAAACTATGCCTCTGTACTGACTCACTGTTTAGATCATCTGAACGTCCAACAGAGACTGTCAGGAAATGCAGGACACAGTTTAGAAATGTATCATTCCTTTCAAAGAAAAGAAAACAAAACAGAAGCCACCACAGAGCTTTTGTTAGGGACACCACTGTATACATGAAGTTGGGAAACAATGTTTGGGAACTTGCCAACGTGTGGGACTTTCATACATTATTTGTTTGCCTAAGTTGGCTATACATGGACAGACATTTGCCAACACTTTGGTGGTTACTCCTGCAGCTGAATAGGCCACTGTATTTCAAAGCAAGGCTTCATCACACCTTGGGGGACAGGGGAAGTATTACACTGACATTTTCACCAGTTATCATAGGTTTCAACCCCTACTTTGCAAAAGAGGGCTGCAGAGAGCTGCTCAAGAAGATGGCCATAAATCAGGCTACAGGTGAGTGGCAAGAAACCTTTCCCACAACAGGACACTGCATGTTGAGAATGCTTGTTACTGAAAAACAAAGACAATTCTCACTGCATGGAGGGCATAGAGGAAGGAAAAGCAAGGAGAACACAGGGGCACTTGCTAAAATTTTCATCAGCTGATAGGTGTACCAATGGAATGAGAGCTAGCAAAGAAACTATATGTAAAATCTGAAGCAAGGTACAAAGGCTTATGTTAACTGTGTAACAGTTCTTCAGGTCTCACAAAGTGTATCTAAACACTGGCCTTGCAACACATCCTATGTCCTTGCTAAAGGAGAGTTCACTAGCAAAAATCCTGAACTCACAAGCTTCTTCAGCACTCTTTCCAACAAAAGGTAATTGAACTCTTCCCAGTACTATGTACTATCCACAGTACTAATCACAAGAAATGCCACTAAATATTAACAGTTTAAATAAGGCAGACTGAGAAATGTTTCATATGTCTGCTACATAAGATGACACTGATAACGTTTTATCATTGTTATAACGCTGTCCCAGAAAGTGCAGAGACTGAATGAGGTGTGACAGCCTGGCTGTGTTGCTTTTTCTATGTGTTTGCTACAAATGCAAACTATTATTTCCCAGCAGCAAACAATCAGCTTGCTTGTTGACGTCTCAGCAGTCAAACATGTTAAACTTTTCATACTAGTATTGACTATAGTTATTAACAGAATTCCCCACTTTTTCAATGCTTCTAGGCATTCTCACATAATAAAAGATCAAACTGAAAAAAACCCCCCACATATATTTTCTTTGTTTCTCACCTCTTACAGATATTTACTGAACAACAGTACAAAGAAACACAGCTTTAGCAACAGGAAAGAGCAACAGTTAGAAACAAGTGAATTTGTGTTTCAAGTGCTACACTCAATACATAGATTTATCAAGTTAAAAGCTGTAATCAGTTCTTCAAGGGAAAAGTACTGACCAAGGAACTGACAAAAAGTCAGTGGAAAAACAAAAACTCAAAGTGGGCAAAAACCCAGCAGTCAACTCCATGAAATATGCTAAGCACAAGCAGCTTAAATAAAACAGTAACTTCTTCAGGTAATCAAACCACCTCTGATGGCTCACATGCCACAACCTACTGACACCATCACATCAGGAATGCCACAGCTTATTCAAGTACAGCACTTGCATCGTGACCAGATAATAAAGAAAATAAGAAGTTGACTTGACCACAACAGAGCACGACTGACAGCCTCTGCTTCAACAAGAGGCAGTGAGGAGTCCATCAAAAGCCACACTCAAGTTGCCTTGGCTCTGAGAGGTCCCACACCACTCCAAGAGAGCAGCACAGGTCAGTCTTACCACAGATCTTCCTCACTTTATCAGCTGACACTTCACACTTGAAATGACATCTCAAGCTATCTCTAGAATAATCAATGTATTGACTCCTTTCATCATTTTTGGGAATAACATCCAACAATTTTAAGTTTTCCCTTCAAAAAGACAGTGTAACTACACATCAAGTATAAGGAAGGAAAAAGGCACTACCTAGCAAATACAACACCAAACCCAATAAAATCACATCACACACACATCCTACAATAAACACTTAGATTTCAAAACTCAGCAAAAGTAACATTGGCAGAAGCAATGGAAAACTTCCCCTCTATACAAACCCGTTCAGTGCATAGCAAGCTGCCTACCCCCAGAAGTCCAATCTACTCTCTCAAGGTTTGCAGCAAAAAGAATCAGACAGCCTTGTGCAGCCGGAGGTTCTTAACTTCTAGACTCTAACTTCTTCTAGTTCTGGATAAAACCATGTATTTTGTTTTAAGTGTGAGTTTTACACTGCACAATTGGAAGAATTCAGAAATGCACTACAATTTACATCTATTAACTGAAACAGCATTTACATTTTCTTGGGGGCATAAAAAAATCTAGTAAGATTATCTATTAAATTTTTTTCCTAATTATTTTATAATTTTGCTGCAATACATAAGCTCTTAAACATGTTCAAAAAGAGAAGTTTCTGAGTTTTTTATATTACCACCCTCTGTTCCCTTTACCCAATGTACCTATCTTGCACTAAAAATCCACTTTTTAAAAAAGTTAGCTAATAAGAACTCAAAACACTTTTTTTCACAAAGGATGTGCCTGATCCAACACCATGTTTATCATGATACTGAATTTGATGTGAAGACAATCAAATAAGGAAACAGTCTTTTTAATAAGAAAATCAAGCAAAAGTAGTTTAAAAAGAGAAGTGTATATATCAGTGATGCAAGTCTTCTAATACTGCAAATATTTCATGTGACAGACAACTGCAAACCACAAAACTAGACATGAATTAATTCTTCTGGTGAATGTATACTTTGGAATCATGCACATGAGATCAAATTTTGTTTAAGCAAGGAATCAAAAGAAACAATTTAAAAGGCTGACACCAGGAAAATATGTCATTCATTTAAAGCAGCCCATCACCAAAGCTATTTAAACAAAATAAACAAGACCCACACTAGTAGCTGGGAGGTCACGAAGCTCCTGTCTTCCTTCTGTCCCAGTGTGCTCACTCTGGTAATGTTCAGACAGATCAGTGGGAGTTACACACACTTTCATACACAATGGACAGATGAAGCCCTGTGAAATGCATATTTGTTTATAAGAAACTATTAAAGACAAAAAAATGCAGATCTGGAATCAAAAGTTTGAATTCTTATGTTGAAAGCTCTCTACAGTCACCAAAAGCAAAGTCTGTTTTCCTTTTGGAGAGAGAATTTTTAAAAACCATAGCAATACCATAGAGAAAGCAAGAAGGAAGAGTTATTAAGGACATGAAAATAAATAAATCTAAAACATGCCCTAGAAACTAGGACCATGCTGCATACCACTATGTGTTTTCCTTACACTCCTGGTGCCTCTTCATGTGACAGAGAAACAAGCTGCATAAAATATCGTGAATGAAGCATTACAAGGCATTAAGTCACCTCATCACAAGGTCTCCCATAAGGGTGCTCAGATGTTTCAGACAAAGAGGGAGGAGTGGTGCAGTGAGACTGCAGAAATGCCTCTATAAATTAATAAGCAAGTTTGCAACAGCAGCAGGAGAGGCTGAGGCAAACCTGTCTAGTTAACACAGTTACATTATACTAAGGAAAGCACCATCTCACTGGCAGACTCACTGCATGCATGGAATATTTAGCAACCCTGTACTGTTGACAGTTGCACTGGGACCTAAGCTGCAAAGGTAAGAGAAACTCAAATGTTTCCTCCCTGGGCATATTGCACAGTGAATAAAAGACTTCATTATAGGTCTGCCTGGGACCTGAAGTGCCAATATGGTGACAGACAGGACATGAGCAAATTTTTACCTCTTCTTGAGCAGTTTGAGCAGTCTGAATTCAGACTTTCCCACTCCTTCTGTTTCATACTACAATTCTCAAAAATCAGGATTTATTTCAACCAGGCTTGAGGAGAAAGGAAATATACAAATCTGCACAGATTTCGCAATTATTCTCCATTTGAATCTTGCAGCAATACAAATTAGAAAATCTAGCCAAGAAACTGAAGTGAAAACAAGTTAATGGACTTCTGACTGCAGAATAATGTGGAATATCATGATAAAACAAACAGCAAACATTCTGCAGAGACCAACTATAGTGCTCCTGAAGAGAAGCTCCAGGAGAGACAAGACCTCAGGGAAGCTTTGAGGGAAAAGGAAGGCTAACAGATTCGAGTAGTGTTACATGTGAATTTAAAAACCCATCACCAGGTTCGGAGCTCAGTTTCAAACAGACTTCAGAATTCAATGCTAAGGATAATACCCAATGCAAGTAATGATGGAATTTACTTTTCTTTATGTAACAAATGCATGTCAAGAGTGACAAGGCAGCCTTTGGTCTGACCCAGTTTCAACTCAGTAGAAAGAAGAGCCAATGGGGCAATAGTGCAGGCACATCACCACACTGAAAGCTCATCCCATGCCACGAAAACACCGCTCCGTTAGTACTGAGGTACCCTATGGCACCCACAAGCTGTACAGTCAGCGATGCTGCACTCATATTAACAGAACTGTATCATTTCAACCAAACTTTAGAAAGGAGAAATCATCTCATTGCATGTTTTTATGCCTTAATCAACTACGAAAGTAGTAAGATTTTTAGTTTTCAATTTAAGAATATTTATTTGCTTCAGGGATTGTTAAATATGCACACAAAACAGACTAGGACTCAAAAATGTGTGACATGTAGAACATGCAGCAAAATATTATGGAATGTCTGATTACATTGACTGCAATAAGGCATTAAGAAAGTAGAAATAAGCAGATGCACAGATAGGATTTTAAACAGCACAGTGAAAGTTTCTCTTATCTTGTATCAGATACTGGAGTATTTGAATCATCACACATTTTACTCAGTGTAATAAAGGGCACTTTGCTCCATTTAATGTTGCAATAGGGGTAATTAACCCTGCACTGTGTATGTATGTTAAGCTCAAAACATGTCCAAGATAGGTAATCAGGCTACATTAGCACAAATGAGCTTCAACAGCCAGTGAAGTCAGTTTGCATTTTTCAGAGTTAATGACAGACAACACTGTAAATACAAAGACATTAAAATGTGGGATTGCAGCAAGAATAACAACTTATTCTGCTGATTAAGTATGGCATGCAGCACATGAAACACATGAAACACTGATAGGATTTATACTCCAAATACATTTACCTACCAAATAAAATTCAATATATTTGATACTTCACATGAAGGAAGAGGTTTCCAGTATACATTATAGCTTAGCAGAAGCAAGGTGAAACTGAAGTACAAGCATGATAAAATGTCAATCCTTGTTTTTTGCAGCTCTCATTAAAGATTTATTAACAAGGAGTCTTAAGCTTACATCTCATTGCTTTAATTTTAATAATTCATCTCTAGAATTACAGGAAGAATTGCTTGTGATTACTTGGATAGATAAGCCTAATTAATAGTTACATATAAACATGGCCCGGTCTTCTTTTTTTATTTAAATAACAAACAATTTTTAGAATATGACATTTGCAACCTGATATTTAAGAAGGGCATCAAAAGTTACTCCAACAGCTCCATGGAAGCAGCATCCAAGATTTAAGACACCAGCCCCGTGAATGTGCACAGTACCTCTGAGGAGCCGTCGTTGTTCACGTCCACGGCATTTCCAGGCGTGGCAGATGAATCCGAATCCGAGCTCTGAGACCCACCTCTACCTGGAGTCTGAAACAGATGGGCAAGACAAAAGTGAGAGTCTACATTTTAATACTTAATAAATATTTAATAAAGCACACTACATATCCTGTGCAAAGGCCTCTCTTATACTTGCTGGAATCCAGAGGTATTTTCCCTCCACAAGAAGTGAACAGGTTGACAAGTAATTATATAACTTTCAGCATAACACTTCAAAAAAAGCTTCTATCCAATACTCTCCATTCATAAAAATCCAAGCAGATACCAGAAGCAAAGGCCAGGATTTTAAACCACTTCCTCTCATGAATGCTCACAACAAAACAAAAAATTTGGCTAAATTCTGCCGTTGTATTACTCTCGGTGATGTTAAATTAGGTCACTGTATCCTACAGGAAAACAGTAGAAATTACCATCTAAAAACTTTCATTAGTAGTAAATTAGTATTATCCTACTTTCTTGACAACTTGTCTACATTATGGACAAGCCCTTAAATATATGAAAGACAGAAAACTGAAGTTTGAGAACCCTGTTGATCCAACAAGCACCCAAGCAGGTACACTGTCTTGATTGGAAAAAATAAAAGTAATAATCAAGCCTGTGGTAAAGTTAAAACATGCTAATCAGTAAGACAACCTATAAAGACATATTCTATGAATAGGCTGAAAATCAAAACTACAGCATTGATTTGAAATTAGAGACTTAGATAAAATAAGCGAATAAAATTTAAATACTACATGATTCAAAATCTGAGTAGATGGATTGTATCTTATAATCCTTATTTAAGTATAGCTTTGATTTAAATTTGTTTTAATTTCTCTTACTCATCTCCAGAATGTCACTGCTTAACTGATGCAGAAGAGTAAGCATTCTCAAAGGAAACATCATTAAAAAATTATCTCAATATGTATATGCAATCCTAGTTTCAACAAAGGACAAAAAGTTCATTATCTAGCTCCAGTATGACAATCTCAAATGGAATAAAGTAATGCTATGGCTGTATTTTGGCCCATCTGGAAATACTTGTAATGCTATAAAGGATTTTATATTTTAATATAAGAGGATAAAGAATTTAAATATATGGATTGAAATCTACAGAGAGAGGGACAGAATTTTAGTTTCTTGATCTTGGTGCCTCCAAAATCTTATCTGGAAAAGAATTCTCTTGCTCAAATAGTTCCTTTTTTTGAAGACAAATCAGTTATATAACCTATTATAAGAAATCTGAACACATTATTCACATTCTTTGAATATTAAGTATATTTTCCTGCTTTGTTTTAAAAAGATGTTTTATTTTCAACTTTCACAGATAACAAAGATAACAAAGATAACAAAGCCTTTTACTTTTAATCAAATCTAAAAAATATGTCATAAACAGGTCAAGTTTACTGATTAAGGACTTAATTCCCAGTGATATACACTTTAGTTTAGGAAAGGCTCTGAAGACTGGCCAAAGGGAAGTGAGGAGTGAAGCACTAAGCTATGGGGCCTGGTGACAGTAAGAGAAGACAACCATCTCTCCTTATTCCAGCCTTCTCTGAAGTTATCAGTTATGTGATCAACATACTCTGGTTTTCCTACTCCATGGCTTTTTCACTCTAGCTGTATTGTATTTCTAAAGAAAGTATGAACACCACTTCCTTCTAGCACAGCATACAAAAGGAATAGGCAAGGCAATGCAAGCTCTGCAAGGTAATAATAGGAGAGGCAAAAAAGGGGGTAAGCAGACATACCATACACATACAAAATATGTCAAAGTGAAGGCATTGGTACTTCCTCCCAGGGTTACTGGTACAGACACTAAACAAGGTGCATCCCAGCATGGACCACAGGTGCACACTCCTCAGGCTTCCACGTGACATCAAACTGAGAGGACCAGCTGATACACTCAAGGGCAAGGCTGCCACTCAGAGGGACCTAGAAATGCCAGAAGAAACAGCCCAAGGGGAACCCTATGCAATTCAACAGGGACAAATGCAGAATCCTGTGCCAGGGAAGGAGAACTCCTGGCAGTAACAGAGGTCTCTCTGCTGAAAAGGACTGAGGCCTTGTGTCAGCCAGCACGCCAAACAGGAGCCTGCAGCGTGCCCTGTCTGCAGAGACGGCTGCCAGGAGCCTGGACTGTGCTAACAAGGAGCGCAGCCAGCTGATCAAAGGAAGTGATCACTCCCCACTGGCCAGCAGCCAGTGGAGCACATCAGATACTGCTCTCCCAGTCCAGGGAGAACACTGATAAACATGAGTTTAGCAAAAGGCCACCAACACATCTGGGGATGAAGCATCTGACCCATGTGAGAAGCTGAGGCAACAGAGCCAGCTCAGCCTGGAAGTAGAGACAGCTTTGGGAGTGCCAAACAGCAGTCACATCACCACTCATGAAGAGGCCATCAAACAGAGGAAGCCAAGCTGGTCTAAGCTTGGGAAGACCACAGTGGGAAGTCCAGACACAAAAACTGTAATGAGAGATTCCTACTGGATGTAAAGAACAGCTTTTCCAGTATGAGATAGGCCTGAGCAACTTGCTCTTGACCTCCAAGCTGATCCTGCTAACTGCTCAGACCAGGGAGCTCCTGAGCTCCCTTCCTGTCCCAACTGTTCAGTAGCGTTAAGAAGTGCTGCCCACAGAAACACACATCCTGCAGGAAAGCTTTGAAATGCAAGGTAAGGAACTCCATGAATGACACATGTGGGTTGTGTTCCATTGACAGTCAGAAGAATAGTATCTAAAACAAATGGTAAGTTGAAGCCAGGTCTCCCAGGAAGACAGGTAAGTTACAATACTGCACCTAATGTTTCAGTGGCACTAAGAGATGGTCCAACTGTGTCTTTAGACAGGCAGCATCTACCTCCACTTTTGCAATATCTGAACATACACTTTCAGCATACCTAATGAATGAATTTGTCCCAAAACCAAGAATCTTCTGTAACAATTAACATAAAATTTTCTTCACCTCATATCGTAACTCCTTATCCAACACTACTGCACATTTTTAATTGCCCATCCCATTTCACCCCAGAGTTGACTCCATTTTGCAATGAGATTTGCACATTAAGTTTTGCTAGTTCTAGCACTACAAATTTGAGATTATTACATCCTCCAGGTTGCAAGCTCTTCTGTTATTACTCCACTGTACACTGTTATTACTCCATGGTTGCTTAAAGTACTTGCTTTATGAAACACTTCAGACATGCTATAATCACACTAATAAGCACTGGATGGCATGTCTTATTGCATACATTGTATGACAGAAGTTATTACAAAGTACCTGGTAAAATCCTTTAAGCTTTCAAAAATCAATGTGTGCTCTTGAAAAGAGAAAGCATAATTCCAAGCTAGATTTAGAAAGCTTAGTACAAACGGTGACATTTACTGGTGAGTGCCATGCATGGGAAAGAAGAGTGAGAAGGAAAGAGGTCATTAAGTAACTTTCAAATTATAGTTCATAGTATCCATTTGCAAAATGGATACAAAAAATTAAATAAAAAATTAAAAGAATGTTAAGGAAGCCAAGATCAAAAACAAAATTAATTTATCTTCCAAGGTTGTAATGTAATTTAAATATCCTTCACCTACCAAATAAAGAATGGGACATTGCAAAGGTGTTTTTTTTATTGATCACTGCATCATCAAATGGGTTCACACACACAGTCATGCTATGCTCACATACTACTGTGGTATCACATTCCATTAAACAAAAAAGAATCACACACATTGAACAGTTTGGACTTTGTGATCTATGAAAAGACTCAGAATGATGTTCTTTGTTTTCAGATGGCCTATACAGGGGAGCAAATAAATTACTTACTAATCCCAGAGAAAAAGAAAATTTCCACACAGGCTTCTGTGTATCTATAGTTATAAAAGCAGCATTTGACATCTGAAGGCATACCCAGAGTTGAAAGACTAATGCAAAGTTAGTCTTTGATCCAGCATAGTTCTCTCCTAGCTCAATTATATCTGTTTACTCTGCAGAGAAGCCTGTGTTTCTACTGCTAGCCCTAGAGTTGTAGAAGTAATATGCTAAACTTCATCATGCTGTTCTCTATGTTTTCTCAAAACTGCAAGCTAATATAAAGAAACATCATTAACAACAAAAATTATGACAATGATTACAGCTTGTTTTCTGAAAAGGGATAGAAAATTATATAATGAGTGAGTTAATGCTTTAATATGAGGGAGTATAAATATGGACCACTACTGTGTCATTTTTGCATAGTCTTTTATCCGTCTATAGCTACATTCCTTTCAGTCAGAAGACTCTTTTCAGCAATTTTAAATTCAGAATAAATTAAAACCTTTGAAAAAATACGTAAAGCCTTGAGAAAATGTGAAAAAAATACAGATTTAACAGTTTTTCCAGCACAGATTTAAATATGACTATAAGGGTACTACTACAACCATAAAAAGGTCCTGAAGCAACAAACAAGGCACAAAAATGAGAAGGTAAGAGGGCCAAAGCCCTTGTTGCCAAAGAACTCTCGGTGCTCAGAACAGTGTATCTTGCCATACAGAACAGTATCACCATTTACTTCTAAAGCAGTGTGACGCTACTTTATGACTCTGAAAAATGAAATTACTCCTGACTTCAGAGGGCATAAAACTTTTCTTTCTCATCATGCCATCAGTTTTACACAAGCACACTTTGTGCCCAGGAAGAGGCACACGCTCCCTTTGAGGAGAGAGCAGAGGCACAGCTGCAGTTCAGCATCTATCCAAGTAAATACGCTATCTAGTGAGCCCTGCACTTATAAATGTGAAAAGAAAACTATAAGTCAAGCATGAGATGCAATGATTTCAGACAAGTAAATACCTCTGTGCCTGAGCCTGGAGTAAGAGAAAAGGTGACTCTACTACCTGAGCTACAGAAATGCCTGCAAAGCCCTGCTCTCCCCCAGACAGCAAGATCTCAAGACCAAGAACTCGAGCATTAGCTAGAAACAGAAAGCAATAGAAGAGCAGAGAGCACCCAACAGAGCAGAGTAGCCAACAGTTGTAGACTGTTAAAGACAAATAATGGAGACAAAAACTAATGCAAAAGTCACACTGCTCCAATGGATGAGTTGCCCACTAAAAAATTATGAGCAATGGGAAGAAGGCTCAGAAGGAGGTCAAAGTAATCAGTTTTCTACCAGCTGAAAATAAATGCCTCCTCCTTGCCAATACAAGCAATGAGCTCTGCTTTAACAGGCCAGAGGCAACTGCCACTGTCCCATAGCAGATTAACAACAGAGAGATGACACAATGCCCACAGAGGGCATCAAAGTTGAACACAATAAAGAAAAGGCTACCACTCAAATTATTTGAGCAGGAAAGGTGCATCTCAGACATTCCATGCAGATGCCTTTGGGAAAAACTACCTTTTTCTAGATCAGTATGATGAACAATGCATGAAACCAGGAAGTGACAACAACATACCAAAGGGGGTGTTATGGTGCAAACATGCAACACAGGTGGATCTCTGAGATGTCATGTTGAAAACATACATAAAATTTAGAAACTTGTAAAAAAATTTAGAAGCTTGTAGGGAAAAGATGTAAAATGAGAAGCTAGTTGAAGACAGCATGGAGATACTAACCTCAAAAGCCAAATAAGTAATGTTTAGTATATAATACTTTCTATTTTGACAATATGTCATTCAAAGTCACAGTGAAGATGCTTTTAAAAACAGAAATTACAACTGGGGATGAAACAGAAAGGTGATCAAGGTAGAGAAGTAGTATAAAAAATAAACATTTGATGTTTAGAAACTTCAGGAATCAGAAACTATAAACTATATCTTTGTTGTCTTCCTCCTTTGCAGCTTGTCAGCCAGCTGAGTTACAACAAAAAGGAATGTAATAAAGAATTCCTTTTTCAAAAAACATGCTTTTATAACTCAAGATGACCAGCTCTCTGGCTAGAGTGACATCACCTATAAGCATATAACAAACCAAATAGATACACAAGAAACTATGTTTCAGTGACAGAAAGGCAGGAGTTTTTTGCCAGCTATACAAATGATGGACAATCAAATGGTCAAGTGGAGGTTCCTTGTCCTTCAAATTACTGCACAAGACACATGAAAGATATTAATAATTATGTTCTTTATTAAAATATCTGACATATACCCAAAGTTCATTTTTAATATCAAAGTACAGCAGAAGTATTTTTCACAGTTTGCCAACCAGAGTGCAAGTCAAAATGGTACGTATGTACAAGGTTGTGCATGCAATCACAATTTTTACAAAGTGCCTAAAGCCCTTTTTAGTATGAGGTGAATTTTTAAAAATCTAGTTATTTTCGGCAATTAAAGGTTAACACCTTCAAAAAAATCTTGGCATTTCTCTATTTAAATTTGAGGCAGAAAGAAGTCTGTTTCACCTTTCTTGACAATAATCTTGTAATTTTCAGGAGCAACTGCAGAACTATTTGTTCAATCTTTTAGGAAAAGATGTCGGTTTCTCACACAGAAACTTTTGCATTGACTTTAGATGTTAATAAGATGTGTTTAGCAGAATTCCTACTTAGGGGCAAATATCCTTTGGCACTGTATGAAGCTTTTTCCTCTTTTACAGAAGCCTTCCTTGATGGCCCGGTGTTTCTCAGAATCAATAAACACCCAGTTAACTGCTGCCAATACTTAATTAGGTCCGTACTAAGTTTCCCTGCTTGTTAGCAGGGCTTCCCATTAAGCTTCAGGAAGGAAGTTCTCCCTTGTAAACACGAAGCTCCAAATAGACCAAGATCTTCACAAGATCTTCACCTGCTCAGGGTCTACGACTGAAAAATAACCTGAGAAATGTTTTACACTGAAAAAGTTGGTGGTATGCTTACTTTATTTCCCCTAACTCTCATTCTTGTAACAAGGCTTCTTTGTAAGGCAGATAAGGAGAGCAAGCCAGCGTTTCCAACGAAACACTTTCGCAGACGTGTTACACAGACAGCACGCTTTGGAAGCAACAGCGGATAAAACGGGGAGAGCAGCTGGTTTTCGCTCTATCCGTGAGCGCCTCCTGCGTGTCACGGACCCGGTTCCCTGCCGGTGCGGGATGTGGAGCGCTGCCTGCCCCCCGCCGCCGTGACTCACCCCTTTTGGGCTCATTCCCCGCCGAGCCCGCGGCCGCATGGAGCCGGCACCGCGCCGGCACCTGCCCCGCAACAGCGCCTCCCGGAGCGCCCCCCGAGCCGCAGGCCAACTGCAAGGGGACCAGCACCGGTGCGGGGATCTGGGCAAGCCAGAAGGGTTTCATGAACGAGTGGCACAACTTGGCTTCGCAAGCCCGGCAGAGCTGCCGGAAAAGCCGGCTCCTAAAACACGGGAGGCGGCCGGACGGCGTTAAGAGCCTGCTGCCTGCCAGCCCCCGAGGAAATCACCGCAGGTCCCGACGGCGGCTCTCCCCAGGCCGGGCTTCCCTTTATCCTGCCCTATGAGCGGGCGGCCGCGGCGACGGGCGCAGGCGGCGGGCGGAGACGCCGCCGCGCTACGGAAAGGAGCCACGCCGGCCAGGGCCGCCCCTCGCCCCTCCGACAGGCCGGGCCGCGGGAACCGCCCGCCGCCAGCACCTCCGCCCAGCCCGGGGCGCGACGCCGCCCCCAGCCGCGACGGCGGGCCCGGCCCGTCCTGTCCCGTCGGGGCTCGGGCCGTCCCCCAGCGAGAGGACGGGGGCGGACAAACTCACGGCCTCCGGGGCCGCGACGGCCCTAACCCGCACCCTGCGCCGCAGGACGGGCCGGACAGGGCCCGTGGCTCCGGCTCTGCCGCAGGGAGCGCAGCTCCGAGCCCGGCCGGCACCAGGAAGCGACACCGGCGCGGCACCGGCATGGCACACCGCCCTCGCCGCTGGGGCGGGCCTCGCTGCCTTACCCGCTGCAGAATCCGCCTGAGCATGGTGGTAGAGCGCGGATGCCGCCGGGCAGCCGCGGCCAGGCCGAAGGGAAGCCGCGGGGCCCCGCAGGAGCCCGGTGCGGCCCGCTCGCCCCGTGACAGCCGCCGCGGCCGGGGAGGCGGGGCAGCCGCCGCGCTCCGCCCCGGGGAGGGGCGGGTCCCGCCGGGAAGGGGCAGCCGCCGCCCCGCGAGGAGCGGGGGAGGCAAAGCGGGATAGGAGTGCGCGATGTGCCGGGGGCTGCTCCCGGGACGGGACGGGACGGGACCGGGTCTGCGCCCTGATCGCTCCGCGGGGCCCGGGCCCCGCTCCTTCCCGCCGCACCGGGCCCAGCGCCGCAGCTCTCGGTCTGTCCCTGCGCAGTGCCCGGGGTCTCCGCTGCCCTGTCCTGGCTGCCGAGGGCAGGGCGGGCGCGGCGGGGTCTCTGCCCCCGGCCCTCGCCCGTTCTCCCCTCGGGGGCCGCCCCAGGCTCCCGACAGCTGCGGGCCCCTTGCTACTGGCATCAATCTGGCATCGGCCGAGAGAAGGACAAGGGCTGTAGTTTGAGCTTGCGGCTGAGGGCTCACTGGAGGAAGCAGAGCGCAAATGCAGCCCTGTGTTACTTTATCACTCGTGCGGCACGGAAAGTACTGACAAATGAGCGTTCAAGGAGGATTGTTGAAGTGAACTTGTTTGGATAATTAACCTCAAATTTAATTCTGATGAAGCAGCTCCTTGCTTCAAGCCCTCAGCTGAAAAGACGACCTTGTGGTATGACCCATTAGGTGTTTTTTAAATATTAGAAAAGAACATTTTACTCACACAAACACACACCTATTAAAAAAAAAAAAAAAAGAAAAAGAAAAGGGTGCAAAAAAGCATCAGGTTGAAAGGAGGTAGAAAGAAGTATCTTTACAAACAAACTGTGAGCCTGATGGTAGGGAGACCATAAATTCCGTACACATTCCATTAATTGACACAGACTGTTACTCACTTAAGACTGCTAAATCTCTAGATTTGAAGAAAAAAAAAGACACAAGGAAAAAGAAAAACAGGAGGGTGGTATACACTTAGGTAGTCAGCATCTTAGCTATTCAGTGTCTTAGGGAGTGTGTACCTCTCAAGTACCTCAGCCAATGGAGAAAGACAGAGAGAAAATGCAGCCAGGAAATTAGGATAAAAAGGAGGAGCTGTGTCCCCAAAAATTTTGAGAGGCACCGTGAGTAATGCTCCATGATCTCTCCCTTTATTTGAATAAAGTTACAGGACTCCTCGGTCTCCTTTTTGCACATAAACCTCTGGTGTTTATGGATTAATTTTCCTGACAAGTTTAACTGAGAAAGAATCAGTATCCGTAGGTGCTGAGACAAAACCCTACATCAGCCATGACAGGAGAGTTACTGGAATACCTGTACCCTCTAGAATATGTAATTCAACAAGTTACAATTCCCCTTTCTGTCAAAAAGCTGCAATTTTCACATGTTGGATGCCAGGCAAAGGGTCATGAGTAAATAATAAACTTGGTCGATGGCTAATTGTGCCGGCTAGAACAAATATCGCAGCAGAGCACCAGTTGTGCTGTAAAGATCAAAAACATTTTTCCACCCAGAGGCTGACATTTCTAAGTACTCTAAAATCCTCACACATGGCGTGAGTTGTGAGCACATGACCAGAAGAATTTGGCTGCCACAGCTGGAGGCTTCACGCATGGCAGTGTTATGTGACTGCACTCAGTTTGCTCCAGCTACAGGTTCCAGTATGTTTCATGTTCATGTCATTGGATCCACAACTGAGGCGCATTAAGAGAACACACACACTTGGTAATGGCTTCAGCTGAGTGGTGAGTTTGGTCACACCCATGACATCATTTTTATGTGTCCATAGTACAAAATGGCTTTGAAATTTGGCAGGTAGGGTCTTTGGAGTTTTGTACTTGGGATTAATAATGGGAATAAGATTGGTTTTGTACAGCTGTACAGATCTTTAAATATTTAGGCAGACCATAGATACTTACTCTGAATCTAAACAGAAATGACTGCAAGTTTTATAGAAATTTCAACAAGAGTGACAGCCTACACAAAAAACCGCCAGACTGCTTGATTTGCCAGGCCTGAGTAACTTGACCAACCCATCTTTGTAGAATGTATTTTACTCTTCTAGGTTAGCAATTCCTGAGTGCTCAGAGGAAGATGATAGTGATTTGAGGACACTAGTCAACAGTCTTATATCAGAGGAGGCTTTTCTCAGCAAGACTTGAAAGGAAATACATGATCCTTTCCTTGTCTGGATGCTAGAACACATGCACATGTCTCCCTGTCGAAATATCACTCCCTCAGTAACTTGTTAATCTGTGGGCCAATTTCAAATACAACAGAGTCAGATAAGGCTCAAAGATACAAAGTTCCTACAAATTTAAATAGTTAGCCAGGGAGAAGAGAGACCCTATTGAATCCTGGCTGCAAGGAAAGACTGCAGTGTGGCTGCTTTTACATACCAGAGAATGTACATAAAAACTCATCCTTGGGGCAGGGATCTAGGGGGAAAAAATTAAATCTGTCCCACTTATATGGAAGTCCTTGGTTTTAACTATTGTGTGTATAGTAATATCTATGAATTCATATCATGCGCTCTCCTAAAATTCGATAGAATCTTTGGCTGTTGGTAAATAGGCTGTGTCCTCAGGCATGGGAGCTGTAAACTTTCATTTCATCCAAGCTCTGTTAAGGGTTTGGTGACAAGAGGGTTAGAAGGTGCCTTTCTAAAAAGTCAATTGTTGGTAGAAAGTCTCAGAATACAATCACAGCCAAGATTTTCCAAAACCAGCTGGAAACCAGCTCTTCCTTTAAACACAAGCTGAGGCTGAGTCTGAACTACAACAAACGCTTGTGTATCTGTCAAAGCCAGCTTATTTTTTTTCAGGACAGAACTGAAATCAGCCGACTGTACAAGCAGCTTTCAGGATGGCCCAGTGTGCACCAGCACTTCTCAGATTTTCCAATAGATAGCTTCAGGGTTTTGTTGGGACTTCAGGGAGTTGTTTGTTTTTAATGGCTATGCATATAGTCAAATAAAAAGCAATGATGTCTGGATCATGGTTCACAAAAATTGGTGTTCACACAATCTTCTACCCCAGCTGAGGGCTACAAGGAACCACTGTCATTTGGTAGAAAATGGCAAGGAACACATGTGGTATATGCACAGTACATATGCTTCCTTATACTTACAGCCTACAAGTTTCTGGGCTATTTATTGTCCTACATGTTTTCAGGGTTCATACAGATGACTATTTTCAGTCATATAAAATTCCCGACCTCAAAATGGCATGGTCACAAGCTCCTTTGGTTCAAGATGTGCTGCGCTGGAAAAGTATCCCATTTTTTTCAAGATGTTATTTTTAAGTATCCTGATATCAGCCTCTGGTGTTTTTTCTTTTTCTTAGCTCTTCAACTGTACACTTTTGACTGTCACTGTGTGCTGTTCCATATACTTTCAGTAAGGAGCTTTCAAATTTACCCATATCTTTTGCTGAAGCTCTCTCCTTTCAAGTTGAACAGTTTGTTAAAAGAATATGATTCATAAAAGAATATGATTTACATGGAGATATTTGGTCAAAGGTTGGACTTAATGATATTGCAGGTCTTTACAAACTTCAATGACTCTATGAAAGGTGTATGACAAAATTTGGAAAATTTATCAAGTGCAGATTTGAGCAAAAATGTATTTTCAGCTGAAGGCAGGGCTATTTAGCAGCACATAGGGTAGTTTCAGTCTATGCTTGAACTAATCACCAATAGTTCCTGACCCATTCCCTTCTCACTACAGTTTAAAATAACAGCTCTCCAATTCTTCACTCACGGTAGTGAGGAGCTGGCCAGAGCACCAGTACTGGCCAGAGGGAACTCTGCATGTATTATAGAGAGTGTGTTTGCTCAGCTGCTTCAGAACCTGGCTGACTCTGTGGTGATGTCTCTAAGAAAGAGCTGGTGACTCAAGGCTGGTTCCTGTGCTACAGAGAGCCTCTTTCAAGTCAGTGCAATTGCTTGCATGAGTAATGAGTGTGTGTACTAATAAAGGTTGCATGGCTAGCATCGATAACAAATCCAAGAGCTCCAAGTCATGACTTCATTCTAATATTACAGAATGTTGGAAAATTTGCACAGCTCTCCCTTAAGAAACCCTAATTAAGGACAGAATAACAAAATTATCTCTTTTATCAATGAAAAAATTGCTTCAGTCACTGATTCCTTTTCCATCCACCTCAATACTGAACCCCTGTGTAGCATATGTCATGTGGCTTTGCTGGAGTAGCTGGAGAGGCAGGCACTGGAACTAGAGAAAGCCCAGCAGCATGCAAGGGAGCTTAAGTCGCAAATATGTATAAGTTAATGCAAAAAATAAACCTCATATTAATATAACCAAAATCTGTCATGCAGAGCACTCTTAGCCAAATGCCTCAGCTAAGAAATTATTCTGCATAAAGTTGAAAGCCTGCCACAAAAGAAACATTTTCTAATTCTACCATAAAAAGCTGTGGTGATACCATGGCCGTTCTGATCCCATTACTCCAGAGACGTTAGGAATTGTTGGCAATTTGCCTGGGTACTTTCCAGTAAATGGCACAGAAAATGGGTCAAAGGGAAAAAGAAAGGGCCTTTGTGGAATTTCACTGCAGAGTAAAATTAAAATATTTTGAATAACAGATTCTTTGGGGTTATCTGTTCACCTTGGGATGTGCTAATATACATATGTCGCTTCTCTTTCCCTCGTCTTAGAAACAAACTTATTCATTTCAATCAGTCTAGGCATGTTTGAGACTATTTCAAAGATTTTTAAGCAAAATGGTTTAAATGCCAAATGAAAGAAGTAGGGGAAATAGTGATCATTTGCATGCTAGTATTAATGGTTATTAAAATTAACTTTAGTAGTCCTTTCCCAGTTACAGCAGAAACTAGGAAATCAGAAACTAAATAACTTTTCAGTGTATGAAGATTTAATGATTATAGTTAAGGACATAATTTTGGTCACCCTTCTGCATAACTGCAAAAACTGCTGAAGGTCTGACATGGGTTGGTTTTTTTCAAACACAAATCTAACCAAGTGCAACAACAAGCTTTTGCTTGGGTT